ACTATGCTAGTTCCCTTTTTGATATTCTTGTGTTGTTGCATACATTTCTAGTGTGAAATATGCTGAGTCTTTGCCTTTACACTTGAGAGTAGTTATGTAAACTAATTATTTATATTAATATCTGCTTATTTATTATTCACTTTTGTATCTTTTAAGCGCGAGGAGTTCTGAAACTCAGTTGATCGCCCGTCGGTTTTTTTTTATTTATTTTAATTGCTTAGTCGATTTTCTACTCTTTTTCCTTAGCTAATGTTTCTTGATTTCTATTTCTAATAACCTTTAGCTGCCTCAATTGTCTGTCTTATTTATTTGTGGTTATTTATCAGTACATGCTTAGTAGCTTAATGCATTTCGATTATTCTGCAATTAAAAAGCTATAAACGTGTAAGTGAATATATGTGTTTTTTTAAAATGTCTATGCAAATATATTTGTTGTCTCTATAGGAATGGTTTGGCTCGTCATAAGTGTGCCATATTGGGCAAACTTCGTTTTATACCAATTTGAGAGTATTCAGAAATATTCCTTCAAGCGCGTGAATTTACCCAAAACTGCAGTTAATCTAAGAAATTTCAATTATAAATATTTCAGAGATTAAGAGTTTTTGCTAGTGAGATGATATTGTATGAACGGAATAACTCGAAGCCAAACAAAATTTGAAAGTAATAAGTATTTACAAGTAATTTCGAATTTGCATCCGATTTTGTATGGCGCAACTTTATGAATTTCAGCAAGATGTTGGATAGTCTTAATAGTTATGTTGTTCCAGTTTAAAGGTTTTGTTTCATACTTACTTCACTAAAAGCAGTCATTGGTTCTCCTTAATCGTTAGAATTTGTAAAATACTTGTTGTAAAATTACAAATTACATCTACCTTACAGATATTTATAATTTAGATTTACTAAAATTTACAAACATATTTGAGAAAGTTAAGCATTATATATACGTGTTTGTGTCCATCATGTGAATTAGTAATATCATATAAGAGGAATGAAATAAATTTAATAAAAATTAACGAGAGCAAGCGTTTTATTAGAAAATACTCTCTTTTTGAATGAATATTCAAATGGCAAATTCAGTATTTGAGAAGATAACAGATTTGTCTAACACCGAAATTTAACTTGAAGGCTCTCCTTTTTGGGAACTCTTTAAAACAGGGCAAATCATCTATAAAGTTGTGTACACACTAGGAGTAAGAAACCCTTACATTTGCAAATAATATTCAAAATTTGGAAAGTTTCCGATTAACAGTAATTTGATTTATTACTTGGACCAGAAAAAAAGTTTGTGTGTAATTTTTTTAGTTCCAGTCAAATTCATAACTTGCATTGGGCAAATAAATAGTTATCAGAATCGGTTTGTGTGCGTTCAGACCCCAGATGCAGAATCCAGCCTTCATTTCTTACAAACTGTTGTTCGCCACTGAGTTTAAAAGTTTTTAAGCAGGGTGCTCTGTTCAGTGCTTTGGGGTTTATGAGAGTCGAAAGTAATGCAATTTTTCAACTTCCATTTCAGGGATTTTTCTTAACAAAAATATCCGGTTATTTTCCAGTTATGAACAAAAAAAAAAAAAAAAAGCAAAATTTAACAAAAAACATATAATATAAAATATAAAAGATAAAATATAAAATACAAAAAAAAAAAAAAAAAAAAAAGCAAATAAATCAGTGAATAAAAGCAAAGCATATAATAATACCAATTGTTTTTCAAATTTAGACAAATCATTTATTTTTATTGCAGAAGTTTTGTACTTCCTCCACATCGCATACACGTTCATTTATTAATCAAATCAAATTTAGTAATAATGGAATGTTAAAAAATAAATTATTAAACTATGATAAGGCTAAACTAAAGATTTGGAGGTTTGGTTACATACATTACAAGTTCAAGTTGTGTGTAAAACATTTTCTTTCACTCATTTGCTCATTTTACTCGCTAATTCAAATTGGTGTTTTTGATCTTACAGTGATTTCCGACAAGTGGTTTTAGTACAAAGTTTTTTATACAAAGCTTGCTTACTTACTCTCTATTACACACGAGCACTCTCACTTGATTTTTTTTTATAATTTCTGAATATTTTTTGATTTATTTGTATATATGTATGCATTTATATATTATATTGTGTAAGCTATATACTAGCATATATGTACACAAATCCAATAGTTTTTGCTTAATGCTTAAACGCTTAAATTAATCAGCCTCATATTTTAAGCTTAAATTTAGTGCTTTCATTTCTAAGAGATTTTCTTTTTAAATTACTGTTCTAACGAAATGCGTCTATTTTATTTTCGCTAACTTATCGTCTATTGATTATTTATTTTTCTTTTATTTTCTACGTGATTTCACATAAAATTTAGCAAAAATTTCCCAAAACATACTTAGAAAGCGAAGAGAGGATTTTTTTTCTTTTAGAATAACTTTCGTTTATATATATGAATATAAGTATGTATATCTAGTAGTACATGGTTTTCGGGGAAATGTCCAAACTTCTGAATGCATGATCAGTAGATCCCATGTGTCGGAAATGAGAAATGAAATTGTGAGTTGGCTCATTTCAAGTGACGTCTAAAATCTGCTCAAGGAAGTAACAAAAAGATATACCAAATATTTTGACTGCATGAAAACGTCACTTATCGGACGAAATACCCAAGCCATCGCCGAAAGTTTTCAACATTACATTTGTCAGAATAAATTATTTTTACGTTGCCCTTCTCGAGAGATTTTAATTCATTCTGATTTTTTTTGAGTCCAATAGACTAAGACAGTAAAAAATCAAATAAGTTAATACAGTTGACGATTTATATCATCTGAGCTGGCACTTTAGTTCTTGAGTTTTACAGCGACCGCTATAAACTTACAACCGCTCGATAGAATATGAAAAATATTAATTAAAAATCCACTAAAAATACTCAGTAATTGAAAGCATATCAAATAGGCTCTGACTGACAGCATCTCGAAAAATTACTGCAGTTTTAATTAAAGTTAGAAAAGAAACGGTCAAAATGCAAAGAAAATATAAAACTGAGTATGAATAAATGTTTTTATATAAAAATACTGTAATTTTTTTGAAACAGATTAACAAAAAGTGGACTAAAAGAGAAAAAATTTTTTAACAAAAACAAATCATTTTTTTTTTTTTTTTTTGAATTTGGAAAATAGTAAGATCTATAATTTCTCGTATATTTGTAAATTGTTTTTAATTTCGGTGTAAGTATAAATGTTTGCATTTTCATGAGCTAGAATTCCTCATGCACACTTTAAGCTAATATTTTCTATGCATACGAGTATACATATAGAGATGGACTCGGAGGCGCTGATGTTCCCTACCGATGGGCGACCGCCTTTTCCACATTTTCGTAGGTTGGTCTGGCCGACGCTCGGCTCCCGATCGCAGCAACGGCCGCTTTGAGCTTAACATATTTATGTACATACATTTGTAAGTATTTAAAAACGATTTACTAGTTATGAGTTAATTAAATGTATCAGTACATATTTCAATGTTAATATTATTTGATAGTATTACATAGATGTAAACATATTTACGTAATTATTAACAATAAATATATAGTATATTAAATATCTGCTTACATACTCACTACGACTATAAACACTTGGATTCCATATAGTTTTTGGAAAAACATTTTATTAAAATTTACACATGTTCTTCACTGTTCTTCCTTCGTAATAATAATAATACAGTATATGTAATAAAGTGTTACAAATGGAAACAGTTCAAAAAGCACCGATCTTCAGCTAAGTTTTCGTTTTACTAACGTGATCACGTCTGCACGTACTGCACGTGGTTTTATTTACAGTTTAATGAGATAATATACACGTATCTGTATATATATTATAATTGTATTGTTTTTTACTTTGTGTTGTTGTATTTTTATACTACTATAATGCTAATTATTTATATAAATTAGTGTTCTTTTACAATGTCTATGTACAAATGTATGTATTGTATATATGTGTGTGTTTGTATGTATTTGATTTTGTTTTTATTTTAAATTTTAAAATTTAACATCATATTTTACGCAGTTAAATAAAACATTATTGAAATAAAGCCTAAGTTAATGCAATGAGTTCTATATCCAACCAAACATAGAAATTCGCAGGGTTTAAAATACCGAGATTCACATGTCGTTTTGCCAGATTAGCTAGAGTTTGACAAGTGTGGACTTCAAATTTCCTTTCATTGGGAAGATGCACGACATTTACGTTTGCAAAGGTATAAATTTAAATGAACTTTAAACTCAGCAACCAACTTGAGGTTGGCAAATGTACCTAAATTTGATCCAATTGAATTAATGAATTTCCCTCAAACTTCAGCTCACAGCTGCATTGACATTAGAATACTTGCTTTTGAGTTTTCGTCTATATTGACATTTGCCCAAACTTTTGAGAAGCGGAAGTCAATCAAAAGCTAAGTAATTACGCACTTTGGCTTTTAGGTAATGCTCTCGCTCTCGGGGGAGAACTTTCAAATTTTGAATTCCGAACCCGCTTTTCTTGGCCCTCCAATCTTCTCAGCTCAATTTTAAATCAGCCCTTCTTTGTTGATCTCTGCAATTGCATTTGTCACGGTATTATTTTAAAACATTGCGGGATTTAAATGCACTTCTCAGTACAACTTAGTAAAACATTTTTGTTGGAAAACTTAAGAAGACTTAATGTTGTTTGTTATTTACAGTTTGTTCTGAGATTTTATGATTAACTTTTGTCTGGTTTTGCCACGTATAAAACTCGCGGTTACATTTTTTACTTTTTTTATGATATTGAGTTTTTAGTTTTGAATTTTTGAAACAAAATTTTTGAAACAATAATAGATTTTGTGCAAATAATTGGTTGCCAATTCTGAGATCTTTTCAAGAAATGAAAAATTTAAAGTTATTATGTTTTTTGTTTGCTAATAATACAACTAAATTTGATTGATTTTAGGAGTAGCTTGTTGTTTGTTAAATATTTTTTAAATGTATATTTTATCTAATTTCTTTGTTTAATTTTACTAATTATAAATGACATTGTCGACTATTAAATTAATAATACCTTTTTTGTTTTTATTCTTTCTAACTCAGTTTTCAAGTACGTAAATAACTCATAGCTAAAAAACTAAAAAGTGTCCAACTCATGAGTTTCTTACATATTCATATTGCACTTTTATTCACTATTTTTCTGGCTTTGTGTTTTCGTGAGACATTCCAGCTCACTGCTGCCTGCTTTGACGTTGCAACCCTCAGGGGCGACGGGTTTGAGTGGATATTTCGTCACGACTCTAATCAACTCAGTAGAAGTCATCTCAGCTTGGTTAGTTTAGCTTAACTCCTCAGCTTTGCTGAGCTCGGCTATGATCGAGCTCATTCGGGCTCACTTCACATCGACCGCAGCTTCACCGCTTTCGATTTTGGTTGTATGCTTTTCACCTCCTCGCCGCTGATCTATGTGCACTCGATTATCATCGGCTGACTTGACTCGATCACCGAAGGGCGCGACTCTTGATTTTGCGCGTGTTGATGAGCCACTGCTGCATGAGCCGCTGCCGCTGCTGCCGCCGCATGGGCTGCTGCTGCTGCGGCATGTGCGTGTGAGACGCTCATGTAAGCCTCATTGGTCGGTGCTGAGACAGAGTTCCCGCTATTGGCGGCGGCACCGGGGGGCAGTAGGTGCATTTGTTGTTTGCTGGCGGATTTTAAGTTGTGGGATTGTTGTTGTTGTTGCTGATGCAGCATTTGCTGGTGATGTTGCTGATGCTGTAGGTGCTGTTGTTGTTGCTGGTGGCTAGTATGATGTGGCTGTTGCCCCGACGTGGCAAGTAGCATTCCAGCGGCCGCCGGGTTCGAAGGTGAGCTGGTTAAGTGCTGTTGCGATGCTGCGGTAGTCCCGTGTTGTTGTAGCATGGCAGCGTGCTGTTGCTGGAGATGTACGTGAGCGTGTTGTTGTTGTGCTTGTTGCTGATGAAGAGAGTTGATGGAAATAAGACGTGGTGGTGATGGATGACCGGCGGAGCCAGGATTGTTAGCCGAACTGGGGCCCGTTGGCAGGTGACGCAAGTGTGGATGCATTTGTTGTTGCAAATGTTCGAAGGCTTCACGGGAGTCGGGCTCAGGCAAATCCTTATCTATGACGGAAGTAAAGATATAAATGTTATTATAGAATTTAGTCCAGTGGGGTTTTGCTCAAACTCACCTAAACACTCCGAAGTTGCTGCTGCAGCCATGGCCAGTTCTTCCTCCAAATCATTTGGCTTACAGCTCGTCGTTTTCCAGTGGGTGCGCAGACCCGATGCGCTTATATATTTCTTATCGCAGCCCTGACAAACATATGGCCGATCGTTTGTGTGCAAACGCTTGTGCAACTTCAGGTGAACGAATTGCGTGAACTTTTGCGGGCATAGATCGCACGCGTAGGGCTTTTGGCCGCTGTGCAATCGCAGATGGGTCTTCAAATTTGACGTTGAGGAGAAGCGCTTCTTACAGATGTCGCACTGGTGTGGTTTCTCGCCCGTATGCACAAGATGGTGCTTCTGCAGGTGTGCCAACTGTGTGAAGCTCTTCGTGCAGACATTGCATTTGAATGGCCTTTCGCCGGAGTGTGTACGCAGATGAACTTTGAGATTGCTTAGCTGTCCGAAAGTTTTGCAGCAAACATTACATTCGTAATGCATTTTACCATCCTTCTTCTTTAGGGGATATGGCAGTGAGCGGTAGCCTCTTGAAGCTAGGGAGTTTGGGCTCAGCGGACTGCCACTGCGTGGGCATGAATTACCATCAGGACTTAAGCTGTTAGGGGGAGATATACGTAACGGTTGCATGAGCATCTGTGAGTTGGACTGCAGCAAGTGTAGATTAGGTGTAGAGCCGCTGGATGCATTCGATTGCCGGTCAAAGGGCGAGTGTGAACTATGTGGAGGCGAGTGGAAGGTAGATGTGGGCACGTGTGACAACGGATGACCGCCGCCCGGTACACCCCCATTTATGCTGCCAGTAGAGTAAGGCGAGTATGCTGAGTAGGGAGGCGTTTGATGACCATCAGAGACGAAGGCGCTGTGCGCGCCATGTGCTGGTGAGTACATCACATGATGTCCTGGAGGCGGAGGCGGCGAGCAGTCATCCTTGAGACTCGCACGTGACGATGCAATCAACATTTCGGTCTCGTGTAGGGAAGAGCCATGTAAATCGGGAGCCTGCGCCAAATTTGAGCTGGAATCGGGGCTAACGGCATTGCCATAACGATGTGATTTCTTATAGGAGTAAGCCATTTCCGTAGGTGATGAGGGTGGCGGTGTAGCAGCATTGGCCTGACGACATGCAGCTGCCGCAGCTGCAGCTGCCTCCAAACGATGTTGCCCTGTGAGTATGGTTTCCAGTATGCTTGAAGAGGGAGGTGTAAAACGCATATAACCGACGCTCGCAACTGCGGCAGACTGTGTTGCTGGATGTGGAGGTGGTGATGTAGTCTCGGCTTCATAGTAGGCCTTACTTAGTGGGACAATCGTGCGTGTCGTGTGTCCGTTAGCCGCGTTCAAGCCACGATCGGCAACAATAACTGTACTGGAGGCATGTTCTTGCTGGATTGTTGAGCCGGGCAAGTGGTCCACATCCATCGCTTCTTCGTCCAACTGCGTCGAAGAAGTGCAAGTGGGCGCTGCTTCATTGGTAGCCAGTAGATCATCTTCACTACACGTGGCTCTAGTTGTGGGCGATTCGTCAGTATTATTTGTATTGTTGGTACTTATGTGGCACATAGCCTCAGTCTTAATGGCGCATTTGCTGTTCTTGAACTCATACTTCAGTGGCATTTTCACTTTAAACTTTCGATATTCGTTCTTATCACCGCAATCCATTGCTACAGCTGCCGAGGAGACCACAGCTGGTGTGGATTTAGCAGAGGAATTATCGCTGGTGGCAGCGGTGGCGCTGTTGTTGGCAGCAGCAGCGGCAGCTGCAGCCACGGCCGCAGCAACAGCTGCCTTTTGCGGATGTGTAATGACAGTTTCTTTCGGTGCGATGGCTTTCTTCGAACAGTCTAATACATAGTTGTGCTCACTTTCACTGTCGCTAGAGTCTTCAGGTGGTGTTAGGCCGTCTTCGTGATACTCGTTGCTATGGTAACCCTCATCCGAGCGAACTGACCGCACGCTACCATCATTCGGCGTCAACTGATGCTCATATTGTGCGTCCTTGTGTGGTATGGGTGAGCTCGCGGCATCCTTTGCCTCCTTTACACCACATTCGCTGGTCGCCGGTGAACGGTCTCTCACAATTACCGACGCGCCAGGCTCTTGCTTGAGATGTAAAACCGTTTGATGTTGTTGTATATGCTGCTGATGATGTGATGATGCGAGCTGTTGCTGTTGCTGATGCTGGTGTTGGTGTTGGTGCTGGTGTGTTGGAATTTGCTGTGCAATCTGATGGCGAGGAAGTATTGATGACTGCGCATGGAGTATGTGTGGTAGGCCGGCCAAGTGTTGCATATGGCTTGCATTGCTCTCTCTACAACTGGGCGGAGAGGGACTAGGCGTAACGGAGCGCCGATTACTAGACCCATTGCCTGGCACAGCCGGTAGTGGTGGTATTGGTAGGCCCATGACGTAGGTGATGTGATTGTAGGCAACTTCTGGTGGTATCTCGGGAGCGGGCATGCAATATGGTGAGTTCGAACGCAACTTTGGCTTGTGCTCCAGCAGCAATGGTGAAGTCGTCGCCGTAGGCGATGATGCTGTTGTTGCCACATCTTCATCATCACCATCGGGCTCGCCGTCCTCGTCCTCATCGGCGGACTGTTTGCATGCGCCGAAAATCGTACGCTCCGGATCCACGTCATAACCAAGCCGTCGCGCAAAATCCTTACAATACCATACCATTAACTCTTCGTTGGGCATTATGTCTCGTGTTGTATAGAAATAGATGTTCTCCTGATGTTGACACGCCACCAAATTCATTACGGAGAGACTGTAGGCGGAGGCAACATAACGCATCCAATTGGCTTGCGCACGATCCGAGCCGTCCAGATAGTAGAAGTCGTCATCTTTGAAGATCTGTTGGCGAGAGGCGTCATTCATTCGTGTTTGTGGGGAAGAGCGAGAGAGCGAGAGAGAGCGGAAAACGAAAAGAAATTCGGGGAACTTTGGTTAGCTTATGGGTAATAGCCAAAAATATTTTATACTTGTATATAAATAAGAAAAGTTAGTCGAAAATATACGAAAAATAGTCCAAAACAGTTGGAGCTGGGAAGCGTTTTAAACTTTTTCAGCCATTTGTAGGTGTTCCGGGAAAAATTTTGAAACAGGCTACGAAACTGCGAGAGAGTTTGCTTTGATATAAGACACCGTAATTAGTTAATATTTATACAACAACAATGTTAGAAAATTACTTACACAAAAGATAGATACATAGGCACAATACATTTACAAATATAAAGATAGAACACCAATTTTTAAAATACCAATGGCAGGCAGAAAAGAAAAGTATAAAAAATATATCAATACGAAAAAAAAAAATTTAATTAAAGTGAAATATAATTTAAAATGAGGAAAAAGTTCATATGCTATGCCGATATTGGTTTTCGCAAATATCTCGCCCAAAAGTATGCTAAGTGTTTTAGGGTTTCAGACGAAACGTCAAGCTAATTAGACATTGCATTTTATCCTTTTTGATTACTTAATTCAAATGTTAGATAATAATAATAATAATAATAAAGGATGTCCCAAAGGGTGCCCCAAACTTAACGAAATATTTTAATTAAGTAAAAAACATAGCCTTTAGTACCCAGATTACTTAATAATCATTAAATACATACAAACAGTGCGCTATTCCCGAACGATATGAAAATAAATTTAGTTTTTCTGTTAATTCCGGTATATACATAGTATGTTACAGAAGATTTATTGGTAGGCTCATCGAATGCCTTTTATGAATTAAAACCGAATGACTGCTCAACATACTTTTGGGTGCTGGAAATTATGAAGAACTGAAGAAGTAAATAAGAAAAAAAAAATCAATAAATAAAAAATAAAGTTCAATTATAAGTGGCAAAAGGACAGACAGAGAGCGATAGAGAGAGAGAAAGAGCGATAGTGTAGAGCATCAAAGTATTTTGGCTTTTAACGTTTAGAAACTGTAGCAATAAAAAATATGTTAAAAAGCGTAAAATAGTACCTTAATGTTGCCGTAGGTTATGTGGCGTGTTTCCTGCACCTGATTATGGGTTACGAATTTTTGTTTATCAGATTTGTATAATTGATGTAATTTGTAATTTTATTGTATTTTATTATGCGAATTATATTTTAGATGTTTTGATTGATTTGTTATTTGTTTTTGTTAATTAAGTGATGGCGGGTTTTTGGTGGGAATATATTTTATGTACATGAAATAAAATGGAAAAAAGTTTGTTTTTGGTTAACGGTTAGAAATGTTTAGTTTAATCGTATAAACTAATTTTAAATTTTGAATAAGTAAAGAAGATAATAGAATGCCTTGAAGCTATTGTTAATATTGGGATGGACATGATGAACTAATGGAAGGTGCTCGACATTGTTGATGTATGGAAATAGAGGACATGGAAATTATTTACTTTGTTTGGTCATATGGATTTCACCAAATATTTACCAAAATATTATTTAAATAAATATAAATTAAAAAGCTGGTACTCTTCAGTTTTGAAACTCCGAAACGATAAAAAGTTGATAAATAAGCAAAATAGTCGGAAGAAGCTTTTTGAAAGAATTTAAGAGAAAAGTGAGTTTGTTGTGATGCTTAAAAGCTTTGTTGTGCAAAGCTTATATTTTTGCTTTCATAAATAAGACTTGGCCTAAAAAAATGTAGTTTGGTGTTTTTAAAATTTGCACTGCAAACGAAAATCTAAATTTATAATAATGCAAACACGAATTTTATGAGAAGGATATTTTGTGTTCAAATGGAAAATCGTATAGTTTTAAATTTTTTTTAGTTTGTTTGTTTCTATAATTAAATTTTGCATATTTTTAAATGAAATTTATTTAAATGATAAAAGTCACTGATTGAATGTGTGAATGAGCAAATCTGTAGATAGAAATGATAGATTATTTGTTCTGAAACTGTCTGTTTTGTGTGGCGATTCACCGAATTGTGACAGCTATGGCGATTATGATTATGATATGTGGCTATGGGCATCTGTGCGATGCTAAGTGAGTAATCAACTACGGTTATTGTAGCTTCATGTTTTTCAATTTCTTAGAATGCTTACCCGCCAAAAATAGCGCGCCCTATTCTTATCGTTGGGATAATTTGGAGTTGGAACGCCTTCAAAGGGGCCAAAACGTGTGCCGCGTGGTATGACACCTGTGCTCCAAACTCCTTCAGTCTGCAAAAAAAGCGATTATAATAAATTATCTATTCGCATTAAGTTCTCGCTGAGAAATCTTTACCCACCTTAACATTTGGCGTTGAGAAAACCATCGAAGGTTTCAGTGTTAGGCTACGTGGTAACGTACGATCTGCCCGATTCGCTATGCCGCGTTCACACTGCACATCGGGCACTATATAAACGGCCAGCCGTTCAAAGTCCTCCTCACGCATGCGCGTTACATCGTAATCTTGTGTGCCGTCTGGCGAGGGGCTGCGCCCCGTCGGAGTCGGACAGGCAGCTGTGTTGGTCGTCGAGGCGGTGGGCGGCAGTGCTGCGGAACTTTGTGTGTGTCTCAGTGCTGACGTTGTCATCGTCGTCGCTGTGGACATTGTGCTACTGCTGGCTGGCTGTTGTTGCTGGTGTAGTGTGTTTACGGTGGTGTTCATGTTGTTGCTGTTGCTAATGCGACTAATGATACTACTGCTGTTGCCGTTGTTGTTGCTGCCGCTGTTGCAATGCTTTCTGGTGGTGTGTGCTGCTGCTGATTGTGGCGCATTCATTATGTATTTGCTGTGCTTATTGATTACTCTGATAGTTTCTTGAAAAAGAGCTTTCCTGCTTTCCTGCTTTCCTTACGCTATTATTTCTTTTTGTTTTTGGTTAATTATGCAGGAGGTTCTAGTTTCCGTGTTAGTCTACTATGAAAAATGACTTTTAACGTTGAAAATTTTCTAGAATAAAAGAGAAAAACAACGATCAAAAGGGGAAATGAAAGTTGAATTTATTATTTAAAAACTTGTATTCCCATTTTTACCCGAAAAGTATAGATGTGGAAAGTAAATATGTATAAGAACTAAGAAAACTAAATTAAATTTCGCTTCGATTTTTATTATTTTTTGTTTACTTAATTTTATTTCATATTTTTTCTCCTATTCTGTATTACTTTAACTTAACTTAATTTTATTTTCATTTATTTAATTTAATATTGCTTTATTTTATTTCAGTGTGTTTTGTAAATATTTTTTCATTTTTTTTTAAATATTTATTTTCTCTTAATTTTGGTTAATGTTATTATTTTATTGTATGTTATTGTTTTTAATTTAATTTTGGGTTAATTCAATTTTATTCTTTTTTATAGATTTGTTTAATTTTATATAAAATAAATTTAATTCATTTAGTTTATAAATATTTTATTAATTTCGAAGTTTATATAATATTTTCTAATTCTCTGTCCCTCGTCTGAAAAGTCTAAAGTTGAAGGTTTCACATGGACATAAGTGAATAGTGCTTTCCTCGTTAACCTTAAACTAGAACTAGAACGACAACAACGTGCAGAGAATTAACGACCTTTAATAGAAGCAAAAGCCAAGCATTTGCCTTGAATTTCCTTCCTTCCTTTTACACTTCATACGCTGAGTTGGCATTGAGCGCCTTTGGTATTTTTTTTTTTACAAACAAAACTAGTAAAATAATATAATGGTGTATTAAAAGCCAAGGTTAGTGCGTCCACTTGCAACTCTGTACTACTTCATATACAAAATACTCAAACACACTTTCACTCACTCACTAACGGCATCTGTTTGTCTGAACACTTGCGCTTTTCTCTTCGCTCGTGCAAATCGTCCGTAATTCGGCGAGTGGCTGCTGCTGTGGTTGTTGCCCGCTCGAGAACTACTACCCCGTCACCCACTTACATACACACCAACTGCGGAGGTGTGATTGTCATGGTGTGTGTTTGCCTCATTAGTAGGGTGAGAGCGTGTGGAAATATGTAAATTGCAGGGTTTGTGAATGCAAATGCAACAATTACAGAAAAGTCTTTTTTTTCATATACTCTCGTACTCGGATGTGTGTAAGGTCTAAATAGCTGTTCCTCTGTATTTGTAATGACGACAACGCCACAAAATGTTGTTGTTGTATTTTCACTTTTACTTTAGCTGGCGTCATCTGCCTTGCTGTTGAAATGTTTTATTGTTTCCATTCTAGAGCAAAAAATTGATTGATTGAATAGCAGAATGTGGTGCTGTGGTTTTTGCGTCTTTATGTTTTTCCAACAAATAGAGGGACCTACAGTTTAAACTAAGCCGCCTCCGGCTGATGGTTTTTATACGACGCAATTAAAAAATTTAGTTTAATTTTCTACAACTTTTTGGATGTCAGTATGGCAGCAGGATTTGAACCCGAGTCTTCCGAATGGCAGTAAGCAATACTTATCATTCGGGTAACGTGCCGCCATTTTATTTATATTCTCAATAAATCTTTTGCCTGAGAAAAATTTTTGAATAGGAGGTCAACATTTTTAAGAAAAACTTATATGAAGGTTATAGATTTGTATGTTTCCTTAGGTACGTTTTTATGTAATCCACTCTTCAGTGTCTTGAATAATTCTCTAATATTTCCATTCAGTTTCATTTGCGACAATGGCAGAATATTTGATGTTTGCCTGGAAAATATATTTACACTCTATACGCGGAGAATTGTCAAATAACCAAATACATTACACTTTTCATATTTCGCATATTCCTCTTTAATTTGCCTTGAAGAAAAGAAAACAAATTGGCACATACTTCCGCATATAAGAAATACATTCTACCAAGAGTATGTCTCTATATGAACAATCCTCAGTATACACCCTGTTGCCCACATGCTCTTTATAACCTAAACGTTATCTTATCTCAAGTTGTGAGTCGCAAACGTAAATAAATGAAATAAATTTAGCAATAAATATAGAATTTTACATATGTATGTGTTTGCGTGTCAATACATTCACATTTAAGACCTCCAAATAATTTCCGTATATACATACATTTCAGAGTATTTGTTTGTGTGCGAAAGTAAGTTACACGTGTACGAGTATGTGTTTTGTCCATGGCCATGTGAGCGTGCTCAACCAATTTACGTTTGTTGCATTCTTTGACGTCGCTAATTTTATTTATACATATCCATACCTATGAACATATCTAGCATATGCATACAGATGAGCTTGTACACATATAATTTTTCGCATTGTGATATTCTCCATTGAGTAAGACAACAGAGTTGCGTGGGAAACTGAGTGAAGATAATCAGAAATGAAATTTAAAAAAAAAAATTAATTAAATTACATTAATAATTTTATATTCAACACAGGCTAAGCTTCCCAAATTTTTAATTAATTTGTAGTTAATAATTATTTCCTCAAAATGGTTGCAACTTGTATTGTTTTTTATTATCTTTGCAAGCTAAAAGTCCAATGCCTTGAACTTTTGCGACGTTTCAATGTCATTGCAGCTGCGAAGCTCTCTATTGCATTCAAAAGTACTCATGAAATTCTACTCAATTGCTGGGGGGCTCACTCAAACACTACAGAGCACTCTCCAGCTGGGACATTAGAGCCAATTGTACAATGTGTATTTGGCAACCTCGTTAGAGGTTACGTTCTTGATATTGCTCCAAGCACCCCCCAGCCGCACGCGAACACATACAAGGGAGTGCAGAACTTGTAAGCGGTAAATTTATAGCCGGCTATTCGGTGTGAGTGAATGCATGAGAGTTGTTTGTGTAAGTGTTTAATTTCCTTTGGTGTGTATTTGATGTGCAATTGCCTTCACTACGTTAGGTTTTGGCATTCTTCCTCTTCTTTTTTATTCCGCTAAAAATTGGTGACGGTAGAAGTGAAATTAAATGACGCATTGAATTTGTTAAATTATTATGAAAGAATTTGCTGAAAGCGAAAGTACGGACTGGCTTAAAGTGGAATTAATTTTTAATTAATATACTGAAATACTATATCGAAACTGGTTTTATTTTCTTCTTCTTCCATAAAAAATATAAACTTCTTTTTTGTTTAAACTCGAAATAAGCAAACTCTCGTCACTGAAGATGTATATTACCATCTCATACAAATGTCTACACATTTAAGATCCAAAACTGGAATTGGAAGAACGATCCAACAACTAAAGTTTATTAAAAAAATGTTATCTTATTAAAAAATTTGAATAAGAAGAGATTAGTAGATTTTTTTTCTTAAAATTTAAAAAAAAATAATATGTCATAAATTTTAATTTCTGTTTAATTAAATTTTGCTAGCTGTTAAGCTTTTCAATGAATAATTTTTTGGAAATCATTAATTTTTATTTATTACTTTCAGTTATTGTTGGCCTTCTTGCTTACCCATTGTTCTGCGCGCTGGCATGGTGTGGTCACCCTACATTACGTATGAGTAACATTTTCAACATAAATTCAGTCAATGCTGCCATTCGCGTTTCTTTTATTATTACAAAATATTTAAGAAAATATATTTCTTTATAATACAAAAATATTTATTGGAGGAATAAAAATTTCACTTTCATATGTAGGCGTGAAATTAACTTTTGACTTTCCCTTTCGGTTTGTTTTTTCTTTTTTGACATTTGTTAATTAGGCTGTTGCTGTGTAGAGCTGGTGCGATGCAGTTTCTGATTTTCTTCTATGATATAAGTTTTTACACGTTAAATACAGTCACCACTCAATAAACACTCAATTCATATACGTTTATGTACAGATATAGTTTTCCGCATAGAAATTCTCATCTGATGTTTTTTACTAGCTGTTTTTGTTTTTGCTTGTGGGTTTCTTTTATTTTTCAATATACTATAAATTATTGGCGTTTTCCTTTACGCGTCATTCGCCGTATTTGCCGTCTGCACTACAAACTCGTTCGTTCCTTTGCTTCAAGGCTGCAGCGGAAAATAATTTCACTTTTACTTAAAAAGAATGCAACAAATTTTTTGCGCTTTAAAATTAGCTAATCTCATGTTTGCTGCATCATATCGGCAAAAAAAAGTATTTCTGTTCAGTTATAAACCTAAGGGTCGCCATGCGAAACAACTAGTTTTAGCACATTTTGTATAAAACTACTCTATAGCATATTTGCACACATATAAATCTCTTTTAAAGTGAATCTTAATTTTTAGAAGTATTTGTACTTTTTGTGATGGTTTTGAAATTTGTAGTTAACTTTCTGCTTTCGGGCAGTCTGGTAGATTGCGCCAACAAATACGTTTACGTTTTAGTTTAAAATTCTCCGTTCAGTATTTCTTTTCGCTCTCCTGCAAGTGTTAGTATACAAAACTATAATATTTTATTCTAGTGAAATTTGTTTTCTTTTATTAAAATTTCCATGTTGCGCTTTTGCAGCCCGTCGCTGTTGACATGCGAGTCTGCGTTCGAAAAATGCACTAAAGTGTTGGTGGAACCACTGAGCAGCAATAGCCGAGCAGTAGGAGCGGTCGAGCGGTCAAATTGAGTAGAGTAGTAAACAAACATCTACAACAACTTAAGGACAATATAGGTCTGAAACAAATCGTATCTATTCATAATTAAACACTAGTTTTATTGTTGTTGTCGAATAATCATTTTTTCGAGTCAATTTCTGCTCAAAACTAATTTCAGATTGCGCTCAGCTGTCGTGTGAGTAAGTGTAAGCATACGCGGAAGTTTTGTTGTAGTTGTTGCGTAAATGCAATTGCATTCTACTCCATGAACATCCACTACTGACCCATTTTTCTAGCGCAAGGCACACACACACAATAACACATTCTTTCAATAGCTTTGAGTACCCTTCTTTTACACTCAAGCGATAAGGGAATGCTCTCGCTATACTGAGTGCAAGCGACTCAGCCAGCGAGTGAATGAGTGAATGAGTATGTGTGTGTATGTTCCTATCACTGAAGGGGTTGGTGATGCGTCAACTGCATTTAGGTGGCGGAAA